CTCCTTGGGGCTCCTCTGCCCCTGCTCCTGCGCACCCTTTCCCCCCGATGGTCCATACTGAATAAGACCGGATGTATGCTCAGTCCTTTGTCTAAAACCTGCTTCTGATCTCTGATTTGTTTCTGTGTCTGTCATGGCGCATTCCATGGCCTGAGCTGTTGGAGCATGTCTAGAACAAGAGGCGACCGGGTTGTGTGTTTCTGCAGCGGGAGCAGGAGAACAGTCCCCTGAGGAGCAGGGTTTAGTCGCTTCCTGCTCTGAACTCCAGAATCCCTTTCTCCACAGTCACCAGCCCTGAGGCACAAAGGTGTCTCCGCCTCAGCCTCGGCCTGCAGGAGCCCTGGAGAAGGCAGCTCAGCGTGAGCCCTGAGCCACACCTGGTCCTGCAAGGACACCACATATATGTGCACGCTCACACACACCAAGCACCCTCACACACCCACAGGGCACACACACTCACAGAGCACACACCCATGTACACAACTCACACACATGGTACACATGAACACAGCAGGCACACCCATACGCGTGGAACTCACACTTCCACAGGGCACATGCATACAGACAGGCATACCAAGCACACTCACACAGAAGTGACGCATGCCCACAGGACACATCCTTATACCGAGAAATGCCAAGCATACTCACACAGCTCATACACACCCACGGGGCACATCCATGTACACTCGCACATGCACACGAAGCAGACTCACACAAGCCATAGAAGCAGGGCACAACTTTACACTGTCAAAGATACTCTAAGTACATGCATGCAAGTGACATTCCCACGGTACACCCATACACACACACACACCCCTACAGGAAGACCTGCACATGCACACAAGGACATTCTCTCAAAAGTGCCCATCTGTACGTTCTCACATGTATGCGTTCCCACACCCACTCACAAAGCATGGGCACTCACACACACAGCACATGCACACACACACACCACTCATCACACACCCATGACAGAGTCGTAGCAACTTTTCTCATTGCTGAGAGCACGTACCTGACACCCCAAGCTAAGGGGAGAAGTTCATTTAGCTCATGGCCTGTAGAGGTTTCAGTCCATAGGTGGCCGGCTGCGAGGCAGGGTGGGGTGGCAGAGCAGAAACAGTTCATGGAGCAAAGCAACAAGCAAGGGCCAACCAAGCTGTTTCTATCCCTTATCTCTTATTTGGCTACGTAGATCAGGCAGCATGCACACCTTTAATCCTGGAGCCCTTGAGCCTAGGATTCCACCATGAAACCATCCCAGCATCACACATGCTATGTCCAGCTACCTCTGCAAATGGCCCACCATGACCACATGAGGCTCTGGGGGTATCAAAAACCGGGTTAAATAACCCTAAGTTATTGCAGGCTGATCAAGCCTGCAATCTCTCAAGCAAGTAGTCTGCAAAGGCTTAAATAAATACAAGCAATGGTGATAATTTTAGGGCCCC